AAGAAGTACTGGCGAGGAGAGTGGCTCGGTAGCCGGTCTAGAGACAGGTCTGTCTCCTGACCCACACGCAGCCGAGGGGGCTAGTAGTGAGGCGGAGACCCTAATTGATGATGATGAGGCTGATCGCACTTGGCAGCCTCGTCGTCATCAGGCTATTGCTTCCGCATCATCAGGAGAAGAGGGTGCAGCTTGGCAGCGAGCAAAACAGTCGGTGGGTTGCCCAGGAGGCAGCAGGGTCGCAGCAGTGTCAGTGGAGGCAAACGGCCATGGAGTAGAGCACCAGCTCCACTGCAGCCTACCACCACGGCCAGTAGTGGTGCCGGTGTGACACGGTGGAAGTAGCAGAGCAGTCAGCCAGTGAGGAGTAGCGGGGGCAAAGTTTCCTACTCGGGTCGGTGTGGCAATTTTTTTGTCAAGCCGCCCGAGGAAAGTAAACGTAGCCGTATTCGTCACTATGTGGCCAGAAAGTCAAGCGTGGCCAGGGGCCCATGTTGGGACTTAACAGCGTTTGCGGGCAGCATATGCAGCGTCGCCATTTGGTGGCCTGGGAAAACCGTGATAAAGATACGGCGGTTCTGCCCACCCCAGCCCCCGCTCCATCACCCGCTCCGTTACTTGCTCCGTCACCCGACGTCAATCGCCCTCTATCAGCCAGTCAAGGCTCCAACACCTCTGCTGAGGGGGAGTTGTCGCTCGTTGCCATCTTCCGCTTGTTCAGATGCTCTCTCTCCTGCTACTCCTCTTCACGGATTCCGTCAGCAGTCTTTCTTGGAATCCGTTTCCAAGAGACAACAGTTTGCGAGCACGCACCCGACGGTGCAAAAGCTGAACGTCCTCCTGTCCAAGTTGCTGGTGCTGCAGTCCCTCCCTTTCCAAGTGGTGGACTCAGCACCTTTCCGAGAAATATGATGGCTTGTGCCGCGCCGCGCGTGGAGAGTGCCAAGCCGTCATTTCTTCGCCAAAAAAGGCAGTGCCAGCCCTGCATTCACATGTAGAAGAGATGGTGGGGCCAGTCTTTGAGCATGTCAGTCTCTGCCAAAGTGCATGGCAGCGCCGACGTGTGGAGCTGTAACTACGGTCAGGGACAGTACATGTCATTTACGGCCCACTTGGTGAACGTGGTGCCGTCACAGCAGCACCAGCAACTTGGACAGGTCACGCCGCTTTTGCCTCCACGTTTGCACGTCCTTGGTCCACAAAGATGTCCGCCTCTACCACCTCTTCTTCCTTCGTGTCCTCAGCCGCCACCCCCGTGCCAAGTCCCATTACCCGACCGGCATATCACATGTGCAGGGCGCAACGGTGTCACGCTGTGCTGCACCTGGTATGCCTTGGCGAACGTAGTCACACAGGGGAGGAACTTCTCAGTGTAATGAACAGAGAAATCGACAGATGGCTGTCTCCGCGCAAACTGAAAATCGGAACCATGTTGACCGACAACGGAAAGAACATGGTGTCTGCTCTGCGTCAAGGAAGGTTGTGCCATGCGCCATGCATGGCTCACGTGTTCAATCTGGTTGTCAAGCGTTTCCTAAAATCCACCATCCCACTGCAAGACATCCTTAAAATGTCACGTAAACTTTGCATGCATTTCAGCCATTCCTACACCGCAAAGCACACCCTCCTTGAGCTGCAGCGGCAGAACGGAATTCCACAGCATCGCCTGATCTGCGACGTTGCAACAAGTGTGGAATTCAACCCTACACATGTTAGACCGCCTTTACGAACAGCGAAAGGCCATCACCGATTTCCTGATGTTACAAGCGGATAAAGGTACTCCCCTGTGTAACTTCGATGTCAGCCATTGGCAGCTCATGCGTGACACCTGCCGCTTGCTCAGGCCCTTTGAGGAGGCCACGCTATTCGTGAGTCGGCAGGACTATGGGATGAACGACGTCATTCCTCTGTTGCACGTCCTGGAACAAATGCTGTTAACAATGGCTGGTCAGGGTGCGGTAGACGTGGCGCACAGATCTCAACGCCACATGACCCCTGTGGGGGCAGGACAGGAAGAAGAGGAGGAGGTAGAGGAGGAGACATTTGTGCTCAGGAATTATTGAGTGAAATGGGTGGTTTTTCCACTCAGCGGACAGGAGTGGAGGAGCAGGAGCATCTGGTAGAGGAGGAGGAGGAGACAGAGGACCCAGACGCACCGTGGCAGTATGCTGTGGAGATGGAGGCAGGGAGTCCCTCGCATTCCTTGGCACAAATGGCCCATAGCATGCTCGGTTGCTTGCGTAGCGACAGCCGAATAATAACCATCAGACAGAGGGATGACTTTTGGCTGTCCACCTTGTTGGACCCCTCGCTACCGTTCAAAAATGGTGGCCTTTTTCACACCTGCTGAGAGGGAGGCCAAAATAACGTACTATAAAAACCACCTATGTAGTCAGTTGGTCTCTGCCTTTGTGCGCCAACGTCCATCCTCAGACACTGTGGGCCCTGTGCGCTCGCGTTCCGCTGCCATGGCAGCAGGGGAGGGGTGGGGTGGTAGGAGCAGTGGCAGCTCCACCAGCAGCGGCTGCCTCAGTCTGCAGTCGATGATGAGTAGCTTTCTTTCTTCACCAGCGCAGTGAGGAAACTACTAACCAGCCGCAGCAGCATCAGGTGGACCTGGAGCAGGACCTCAAACAACAGGCTTGGGCCTACTTGGACAGCACCCTGCCAACCGAGGTAGACAATCCCCTTGACTACTGGGCAACGAAACTTGACCTTTGGCCCCAACTAGCTGAATTTGCCCTTGAAAGGCTGTCATGCCCGGCCAGTAGCGTGGCATCGTGCGCGTGTTTAGTGCGGCAGGAGGTATTGTAACTCCGCGGAGGACACGACTGTCCACCCAAAGTGTGGAGAGACTCACGTTTGTGAAAATGAATCAGGCGTGGATTAGTCTGGATTTCAAACCACCAGTTTCCTGACACAACTGACTAAATCCGCCATGAATCATGCCCCAAACATGTGCCACTTTCAGGTCTCCTCACACTGCTGGTGTGTTTCCATTTTTTGTCATAGGGTGCTGGCAGATTACGGGCCTCCCATAGCTGCTGCCAGGCCCCTAATCTGCCATGGGGCCCCTATACCGCCTCCTCATGCTGCTGCCAGGTCCAGAGTCTCTCATGGGTCCCTGTACGGCCTCCCATTGCTGCTGTCTCCATCGCCACACTCTGCCATGTGCCACTTTCAGGTCTCCTCACACACTGCTGGTGTGTTCAATTTTTTACGGGCATAGGGCCAGGCTGGCCAGATTACGGGCCTCCCATAGCTGCTGCCAGGCCCCAATCTGCCATGGGTCCCTGTACCGCCTCCTCATGCTGCTGCCCAGGTCCACAGTGTCTCATGCCATGTGCCACTTTCAGGTCTCCTCACACTGCTGGTGGTGTGTTCCATTTTTTGTCATAGGGTGCTGGCAGATTACGGGCCTCCATAGCTGCTGCCAGGCCCCTAATCTGCCATGGGCCCCTGTAACCGCCTCCTCATGCTGCTGCCAGGTCCCAGTAATCTGTCATGGGTCCCTGTTGCTCGGCTCTCCTCATTGCTGCTGTCCGCTCGTTTTTTGACATGCTCACTCTCCATGGGCCCACTTTCCTCACACTGCTGGTGTGTTCAGGCCCCTTTTTGACATGGGTGCTGGCAATTACCGTTTCCTCCTCATTTGCTGCTGCCAGGCCCCTGGTCTGCCATGGGCCCCTGAACGCCTCCTGTCCCAAGTTGCTGCTGTGTGCCAGGCTTGTAATCTGTCCATGCGCCACCTGTTCACCGCCTCCTCACACAACTGCTGCTGCCAGGTCCAGAGGTGCTGGCCCCCGTACGGACTCCTATGCTGCTGCCAGGCCCATAATCTGTCATGGGCCCCTGTACCGCCTCCTCATGCTGCTGCCAGGTCCAGAGTCTCTCATGGGTCCCTGTACGGCCTCCCATTGCTGCTGTCTCCCATGCCACACTCTGCCATGTGCCACTTTCAGGTCTCCTCACACTGCTGGTGTGTTCAATTTTTTGACATAGGGTGCTGGCAGATTACAGGCCTCCCATAGCTGCTGCCAGGCCCCTAATCTGCCATGGGCCCCTATACCGCCTCCTCATCTGCTGCCATTCAGGTCCCAGAGTCTCTGGTCATGGGTCCAGAGTCTCTGTCCCTGTACGGCCTCCCATTGCTGCTGTCTCCATCGCCACACTCTGCCATGTGCCACTTTCAGGTCTCCTCACACACTGCTGGTGTGTTGAATTTTTTGACATAGGGTGCTGGCAGATTACGGGCCTCCCATAGCTGCTGCCAGGCCCCTAATCTGCCATGGGCCCCTATAACCCTCCCTCATGCTGCTGCCAGGTCCAGAGTCTCTCATGGGTCCCTGTACGGCCTCCCATTGCTGCTGTCTCCATCGCCACACTCTGCCATGTGCCACTTTCAGGTCTCCTCACACACTGCTGGTGTGTTGAATTTTTTGACATAGGGTGCTGGCAGATTACGGGCCTCCCATAGCTGCTGCCAGGCCCCTAATCTGCCATGGGCCCCTATACCGCCTCCTCATGCTGCTGCCAAGTCCAGAGTCTCTCATGGGTCCCTGTACGGCCTCCCATTGCTGCTGTCTCCATCGCCACACTCTGCCATGTGCCACTTTCAGGTCTCCTCACACACTGCTGGTGTGTTCCATTTTTTTGTCATAGGGTGCTGGCAGATTACGGGCCTCCCATAGCTGCTGCCAGGCCCCTAATCTGCCATGGGCCCCTATACCCCTCCTCATGCTGCTGCCATCCTCATGCTGCTGCCAGGTCCACAGTGCTGTCTCATGCCATGTGCCACTTTCAGGTCTCCTCACACTGCTGGTGTGTTCAATTTTTTGACATAGGGTGCTGGCAGATTACGGGCCTCCCATAGCTGCTGCCAGGCCCCTAATCTGCCATGGGCCCCTATACCGCCTCCTCATGCTGCTGCCAAGTCCAGAGTCTGTCATGGGTCCCTGTACGGCCTCCCATTGCTGCTGTCTCCTATCGCCACACTCTGCCATGTGCCACTTTCAGGTCTCCTCACACTGCTGGTGTGTTCCATTTTTTGTCATAGGGTGCTGGCAGATTACGGGCCTCCCATAGCTGCTGCCAGGCCCCTAATCTGCCATGGGCCCCTATACCGCCTCCTCATGCTGCTGCCAGGTCCAGAGTCTCTCATGGGTCCCTGTACGGCCTCCCATTGCTGCTGTCTCCATCGCCACACTCTGCCATGTGCCACTTTCAGGTCTCTCACACACTGCTGGTGTGTTTCAATTTTTTTGACATAGGGTGCTGGCAGATTACGGGCCTCCATAGCTGCTGCCAGGCCCGTAATCTGCCATGGGCCCCTATACCGCCTCCTCATGCTGCTGCCAGGTCCAGAGTCTCTCATGGGTCCCTGTACGGCCTCCCATTGCTGCTGTCTCCATCGCCACACTCTGCCATGTGCCACTTTCAGGTCTCCTCACACTGCTGGTGTGTTGAATTTTTTGACATAGGGTGCTGGCAGATTACGGGCCCTCCCATAGCTGCTGCCAGGCCCCTAATCTGCCATGGGCCCCTATACCGCCTCCTCATGCTGCTGCCAGTCAGATGTCTCTCATGGGTCCCTGTACGGCCTCCCATTGCTGCTGTCTCCATCGCCACACTCTGCCATGTGCCACTTTCAGGTCTCCTCACACACTGCTGGTGTGTTCAATTTTTTGACATAGGGTGCTGGCAGATTACGGGCCTCCCATAGCTGCTGCCAGGCCCCTAATCTGCCATGGGCCCCTGTACCGCCTCCTCATGCTGCTGCAGTCCAAAGCCAGGTCCATGGTCAGTGTCTCATCGCCACATGCCATGTGCCACTTTCAGGTCTCCTCACACTGCTGGTGTGTTCCATTTTTTTGTCATAGGGTGCTGGCAGATTACGGGCCTCCCATAGCTGCTGCCAGGCCCCTAATCTGCCATGGGCCCCTATACCGCCTCCTCATGCTGCTGCCAGGTCCAGAGTCTGTCATGGGTTCCTGTACGGCCTCCCATTGCTGCTGTCTCCATCGCCACACTCTGCCATGTGCCACTTTCAGGTCTCCTCACACACTGCTGGTGTGTTGAATTTTTTGACATAGGGTGCTGGCAGATTACGGGCCTCCCATAGCTGCTGCCAGGCCCCTAATCTGCCATGGGCCCCTATAAACCGCCTCCTCATGCTGCTGCCAGGTCCAGAGTCTCTCATGGGTCCCTGTACGGCCTCCCCATTGCTGCTGTCTCCATCGCCACACTCTGCCATGTGCCACTTTCAGGTCTCCTCACACACTGCTGGTGTGTTCAATTTTTTGACATAGGGTGCTGGCAGATTACGGGCCTCCCCATAGCTGCTGCCAGGCCCCTAATCTGCCATGGGCCCCTGTACCGCCTCCTCATGCTGCTGCCAGGTCCACAGTGTCACTCATGCCATGTGCCACTTTCAGGTCTCCTCACACTGCTGGTGTGTTCCATTTTTTGTCATAGGGTGCTGGCAGATTACGGGCCTCCCATAGCTGCTGCCAGGCCCCTAATCTGCCATGGGCCCCTATACCGCCTCCTCATGCTGCTGCCAGGTCCAGAGTCTGTCATGGGTCCCTGTACGGCCTCCCATTGCTGCTGTCTCCATCGCCACACTCTGCCATGTGCCACTTTCAGGTCTCCTCACACTGCTGGTGTGTTCCATTTTTTGTCATAGGGTGCTGGCAGATTACGGGCCTCCCATAGCTGCTGCCAGGCCCCTAATCTGCCATGGGCCCCCGTACCGACTCCTCATGCTGCTGCCAGGCCCGTAATCTGTCATGGGCCCCTGTTGTCGCTTGTTGGCATATTCCGCTCGTTCAGATGCTCCTTCTCCTGCTGCTACTCCCTCTTCACGGATTCCGTCAGCAGTCTTTCTTGGAATCCGTTTCCAAGAGACAACAGTTTGCGAGCACGCACCCGATGGTGCAGAAGCTGAACGTCCTCCTGTCCAAGTTGCTGCTGCCAGGCTTGTAATCTGTCAATGCGCCCCTGTAACCGCCTCCTCATGCTGCTGCCAGGTCCAGAGTGTGTCATGGGCCCCCGTACCGACTCCTCATGCTGCTGCTAGGCCCCGTAATCTGTCATGGGCCCCTGTACCGCCTCCTCATGCTGCTGCCAGGTCCAGAGTGTGTCATGGGTCCCTGTACGGCCTCCCATTGCTGCTGCCAGGCAGCCCGTAATCTGCCATGGGCCCCCGTACCAACTCCTCATGCTGCTGCCAGGCCCGTAATCTGTCATGGGCCCCTGTACCGCCTCCTCATGCTGCTGCCAGGTCCAGAGTGTGTCATGGGTCCCTGTACGGCCCTCCCATTGCTGCTGTCTCCATCGCCACACTCTGCCATGTGCCACTTTCAGGTCTCCTCACACTGCTGGTGTTTTCCATTTTTGTCATAGGGTTCTGTATGGCCTCCCATTGCTGCTGCCTCCACCGCCACACTGTGGCTCCACACTCTGGTTTTGGCCCCGTGACTGCCCAAATGAGTGTGTGCGGTGATTCTAAGATCGACGGCACTCATCTGCATGTCATACTGACTGTCAGTATTATTTCTCTTCCCCAGCAGACTCCAAGGGCATTTACATTAAAGGTACAGTGTTCTGCACTAATATAAAGGCTCTCTGAAGCCTAGAAACACCCTTTTAGAAGTTAAATTCGCAGCGAATATATTCTACTCGAATCAAAATTTTTCCACGAATTCGCCGAATCAGTCGAATCGAATTTTTGAATACTTCGCTCATCTCTAGTTAAGATCTATGTTTGTCTTGATTTGTTTATTAAATTAATTATTTTTTTCAGGTCAACCTAAATACATTATTTGGATGGTGGGTCATTTGTTCGCTTTTTGGACAATGAAGCTGGCCGAATTGAGGAATTATTCTACTAATTTATGTTTGGATGACAGCAACTTTCAGGTTTTTTGGTGGGGAGTTAGGAGTTAACGTTGGACGAATACTATTTAACTAGTGTTTGGCCCATGCCTAATATTCTGATTATTCACATTGTTGCAAACAGTTTAGGGAAGAATAAGACATAAGACCTTCTGTGTGAAAATGAAGAGATTTTTACTCTTTTAAATTGTTGTTTCCTTGGGCATTTCTTGTTTTTTTGAGATGATTGCCAGATTGTTGTGGTCCCCTGCAGGTAAACTTTTTTTATATTGATAACATTCAGAGATGCCTTAATTGCACAGTTCACAACTTTCTAGTCTCAGATGAAGGGGTTTTCTACCTTCACATAGAATTAGAAGGTTTTTTTTTTTCCAGGCCTCTTTCGAGAGGACATTGTACATTCGTCAGAAATTTGCTTGAATATTGGTTTACAATATATAATTGAATTGACCATGGTGTTGGTGAGGCTTCAGCCATCTGGTTCCCATCTGACCTTTGCTGGTGGGGTTTAGTCATCCAATATATCTGGATGGACAAAGTGACTGTATTTGTTGATGTTTTGGTTTTAGCCAGAATGGATTTACTTAGCATTTCATATGGTATTTATTATTTATTTAAGGTTACCCCTTGAATGACACCATGGCCAATAAAATAATCCAATAAAATTTGTTGAAATGCATTATTTTGTGTTTTGTGTTATTATTTTTTATTCTGTTTTATAATTTGGCTCCTTTGTGCTACCCCATGCCAGATTCTCCACAGCAGTTTGGACCTGGAACTTCCAAATATCTGCCAGCTAGTATGAGGACTGGTTGCTTTTCACGCAGAAACTCATTAGCTATGTAACTAACAAGGTGGTATATAGACATTACTTACCAGTCTGAAACATGAATAACACACCTGAGTTTAAAAGAGTGTTTTCCGAAAGCAAGATGGGATAGTGATCTTGTGCATGTATGGTAACCAAGCAGCAATCTTGTCTTAGTTTTCTGCTCACCTACACAGCAGTGGCTTGATTTTTTTTGTTAAATGTGTGTTTGTCCTCCACTTTTAAAGTTCAATGTAATGGGAGCACAGTTGAATGAGCTGACAGCTTGAGGCCCTTGCTATATATTGTACATTTTCCAAAACTGTACTGAGGAATTAATAAAGGCTGTCATTACTGTATTCATTTTGCAGCAATGTTTATTGGAGCTGATTGACCCTACCCACTCTGGAGTGTTGTCTGCTGCTTTGGTAGCAATGCTGTTTAATTAGTGATCTGTAACAAATATAGAGCAAATGTAGAGAGACAAGCAGAGGCAGCACCCATACTTCTCTCATGGTTCATTTGAGTTAAACTGGGCTATCAGGGTACAACTGTGGGCTTTTCAGGAGTTTTACTATTTTTCTTTCCATACAAGTGAAACCTCCCTACAATCTGGAGTAATTCATCATTGCTTTATAAAAAAAAAATCACCAATTGTATAACTTTTTTTTTGAAACAATTATTATCAGCAGTGTGATGTTTTCTGCAAGCTACTGTACGTACACCATCTTGCTGGACTCTCACACCATCTAAAGTAATTTTTCATCTCCTTTTGGATTGAGTAGGGAATGATTAGAAACCCTTTTATATATATTTTTGACATGTGTCTCATTCATCATTTTCTCTCCTAATGAGAGAGAAAGAGAAAAGATATATTTGCAATATGATGGAAATCCCATCTAGACAGCTGTCACCATAACACGTTTCTCAATTGAAAGATTTTTCAAATACAAATTTTGGATTTAATTTCGTGCTCATCCTGGTGACATCAATGATTAGGACAATTAGAGAGCGAATACCACTAACACAAACAATAATCCCAACCTTATTACTTCATCTAAAAAAAAAACGTGTCCCCTTAGTTGAGCTTTGACTCTTGGTACACATGTCCTTAAGTTATAGTGTGATGTCTATATATATTATACCACAAATTCAGAATGCTCTATGAAACATATACTGTTTATATAGAAAACAAAAAAAAATGCTACTTTAGAAATATTTACCTTAAAAAATATACTGTATATATCTCCATGTATAAATCAATAAAAAAAATGCAGCATATAAAATGTTCAAGTCCGTGCATAAAAACCCTTTCTCTATATACATATAGAAAATAGTCAGTGCAAAACAACTTATTAAAATATTCTAAACAAAAATCTGTGCTTCTTCATTCAATCCTACTGCCATATTTACAGTATGTATCGAAATGCTCCACTCTATACAGTGTGTATCAAATCACTCATCAGAACATATTGACATTTTGGTTAACAAAAGGTCTGACAACGCTTGTTTAAAGGAGACTTCTGTGTCCTGTCAGCTGCAACCAATCCTCTGTGGTTTTCAGTAAAACAAACTCAAATAGAGACACAAACAGGAACGTATCATAATGTAGTACAGTATATAAATTAAAGCCAATTTTATTAAAAATCATAACATGCTCTGTGTGAGGTGCATCCTACTGTACCAGTGTATAAAAGCTCAGTTATGAACAAGCATAAGATGAAAGCATCTGGATTGCTTAATATATCTTATATAACGCTGTTATTCAGAGAAGTTCAGTGTTCAATCTTCTGGCCCCTCCCCCTACATGTTTTATCATCACAACTTTTTCAAAGGAATATAAATACATACAACAAAGGATACAGGGTATACAAAATGATTTCCCAGGGGCGTGGTGACCACTTGGCAAAATGGCCACTTAACTACGAAGCTTTACTCTGACACTGGGCTGTTCTACATCTACAGCTGCCTATAGCTGAGCTACTGATACACAGAATGATTCCGCACCTTTTTGAGCCTCCGCTCACTTTGGAGGCATGTGGCGAAGCCAGCAAGAATCAGCTTCTGTGAAGAAACTTTTCAGTTTCTTTTCGACCATACTCCTCAGACCACACCAAAATGGTGGCAGAGACTATGCACCTTGTGGCATTCCTGGACCTCTGGATGATGTCTCAGAGTCGCTGCCTGACTCAGAGGCTAACATGGGGCCGGCAGTGGACACCAACTACTCAGGTCAATCAACCTCATCCACGCATCCAAGTTAAGCTAAATCACGTCCAAGACGGGATACAGCGGAAAGACTTAACAATGACCCTTTGATGGAGGGAAGTGGACCTGCAACCACAAAATATCCTGATATTATAAAGCCCGACCTGATTGTGGACTTCCCAACTACAGGACAACCTGTATCATACACTACTTTAAAGGACATGCTGATGTCTCTATGTGCATCTTTGCAATCAGATATTATATCATCTATCCATCAATGTAAGGCTGACATACAGGCATTGGGTGACAGAGTGAGCAATACAGAGGATAAACTGTGCAAGATCACATCCTCCTCTAATGCACTGGTTGATTCCCACACCTCTCAGCAAGAAGATATATCCTACCTTAAAGCAAAACTGGCTGACCTGGAAGACAGATCACGCTGCAACAATTTGAAAATAAAGGGAATTCGATATACAAACACAACAACTGCCCCACTATGTTCAAGACATATTTTGAGCAGTGTTACCAAACCTCACCTCCGCTGATCTCACTATTGATAGAATACATAGACTCCCAAAACCTGCCTTTTTACTTCTAGAGGTACCAAGAGATGTCCTTTTATGTCCATTCATGAAAGCAAAAGCTGTCAGTCATATAGACCACCTTCCAGCACAGTCAGCAAACCTACAGGTCCTTCCACACTTCTCTCAATCTACTTTGCAGCTCAGACGTAATCTGAATACCATCACCAAAGCTCTGTGAAATAACAAAATAATATACAAATGGAAGTACCCAGCTAAATTGAATATCACCCATAAGGGTAAGTCACATTTAATTACTTCCTTGGATGAGGGACTCGAACTCCTCAAAACTTGGGGAATCATACCTGAATCGCAGCCAGCACAGAACCAACGCCACACATTTAGCATTATCACTCAAGCCTGGCAAAGAGCTACTAAAAAACATTCCGCTCAGAAAAAAACACTAGAGGGAACAACTTTGCTTCACAGCCCAGTTCAAGCTCCTCAACTCTGGAAACAAAAGGAGTACCAAACACTCTACTCATTACCCCAAATACCACCCTACCCGTGCTCTTCGCTCCTCACAAGACATCCTACTCTCTAGTTCCCTGGTCTCCTCCTCCCACGCCTGACTGCGGGACTTCTCCAGGACTTCCCCCATCCTCTGGAACTCCCTACCCCAATCCATCAGACTGTCACCTACCCTCCTCACCTTCAGGCGCACCCTGAAAACCCATCTCTTCAGGGAAGCTTACCCCACCTTTACCTAACAGCCGTTCTGCTCCGCTCCACCTACCACTCCATCCCCCAGAGCCACTTCCTCCTGTACCTCTACCCCCTCCCTCCTAGATTGTAAGCTCGAAAGAGCAGGCCCCTCGAACCCCTCATGTATTGTACTGTTACTGTATTGTCTCATGTTCTGTCCCCCACTTTAATGTACAGCGCTGAGCAAACCTTTTGGCGATATATAAACACTGTATAATAATAATAATTACCCCCAAATTACGATGTTCTGCAGTTTTTACTGCTCACATAGGTTCTTCCTGGACCTTATTTTTATTGTTGTTCTACTTGGCTTCTAATTAGCAATATTTTTTATTATCGC